GAAGAAGCAGGTACCGCTGGTAGCTCCGTACAAGCAGACGTTACCAACAATGATGTTCTCCTCGGCCTTGAACACAGCGGAACGAGGGGGGTAGACAATGAGTCTACCACCGGACAAGCCCTTGCCAACGTAATCGTTGGCATCACCCTCCAGCTCGAGCGTGACACCCGGAGCAAGGAAAGCACCGAAGGACTGACCCGCAGAACCCTTGATGTTAACATGAACAGTGTCGTCAGGTAGTCCCTTCTCGCCGTAGCGCTTGGAGATTTGGTAGGACAGCGAAGTGCCCATGGCACGGTCAGTGTTAACGATATCACACTCAATACGCGAAGGCAGTCCCTTATCAAGGGTCAGCTCAGCCTCGGTAATAAGCTTATTGTCCAAGCGAACGTAAAGCTTATGATCCTGCTTCCGGACATTGAAGGTTGCCACTCCGGGACGGAGTTTGTGGGCGGGCGTCAGGATAAGAGACAGGTCAATGTTCGAAGTCTTCTTGGTCCTGAGATCCTCACGGACCTTGAGCACCTCAACATGACCGACCATCTCGTTGATGGTGCGGAAACCAAGTCTGGCCATGATAGCACGGAGCTCGTTGGCTACGTAGTAGAAGAAGTTGATCACATGCTCAGGCGTACCTGTGAACTTCTTACGAAGCTCAGGGTCCTGAGTGGCAATACCGACCGGGCAGGTGTTCAGGTGGCACTTGCGCATCATGATGCAACCCATAGCAATGAGAGGAGTGGTCGCGAAACCCCATTCTTCAGCGCCTAGCAAGCAAGCAATGGCAACATCACGGCCGGTACGAAGCTGACCATCAGTCTGAACGACAACGCGGCCACGAAGGTCGTTGAGAACCAATGTCTGATGAGTCTCGGCAAGACCCAACTCCCAGGGAAGACCGGCGTACTTGATACCAGTCCAGCGAGAGGCACCAGTGCCACCGTCATGGCCCGAGATGAGAATGTGGTCTGCCTTGGCCTTGGCGACACCGGAGGCAACGATACCAACACCAGTCTCAGACACAAGCTTGACGGAAACGCGAGAACGAGGGCTCGAGCACTTGAGGTCATAAATGAGCTGCTTCAAGTCTTCAATCGAGTAGATATCGTGATGAGGAGGGGGCGAGATAAGACCGACACCAGGGGTAGAGTGACGAGTGCGGGCAATGGACTTGGAAACCTTGTGTCCGGGAAGCTCACCACCCTCACCAGGCTTGGCACCCTGGGCCATCTTGATCTGAAGTTCATCAGAGTCGGCCAGATAAGCAGATGTGACACCGAAGCGACCTGAGGCGACCTGCTTGATGGCTGAGCGCATGGTATCGCCGTTCGGCAGTCTCTGAGACCGTTCAGGATCCTCACCACCTTCACCAGTGTTGGACTTGCCACCGAGCCTATTCATAGCAACGGCCAGGGTAGAGTGAGATTCAAGGGAAATAGAACCATACGACATGGCGCCAGTGCAGAATCGGCGGACAATCTCGGTCCAAGGCTCAACCTGGTCAATGGGAATAGGAGTGCAGTCTTCGAACTTGAAGTCAAGCATACCACGAAGCGTGCAAGACTTGATCTGCTCGTATTCGGAGAGTGAGTAGGCCTCGTAAGACTTGTCATTTTTGGTGCGGACGGCATCCTGAATGTTGGCAATGGAAGTAGGATCGTTGACATGTGCCTCGCCATTGTCACGCCAGTGGTATTCACCAGACTCGGGAAGTCCAGGAACAGCAACGGTGTAACGCGATGGGAAACCGCGCTCGTGCAAACGGAAGGCATCCTCGGCGATAAGTTCAAAGGTTATACCCTTGATACGGGAGGCAGTACCTTTAAAGCAGCGCTCAACCACGCTGTCATCGACACCCAAGGCCTCAAAGATCTGGGCACCCTTATAACTGGCCAAGGTAGAGATACCCATCTTGCTCATGACCTTGAGGATACCACCATCACAGGAGTGCTTGTAGTTGTAGATGAGCTCATCATCGGTCAGCTTCTTCTTGATGAGCTTCTCCTTGTTGAGCTTGATGATGCACTCCATGGCCAGGTAGGGGTTAATGGCGTCAATGCCGTAGCCAAGGAGGACGGTCATGTGGTGAACTTCACGAGCCTCGGCCGTCTCAGCGACAATGGCAGCCATTGCACGCCACTTGTTGCTGACAAGGTGGTGGTGAACCATGCCACCAGCGAGGAGAGCAGAAACAGCGACACGATCCTTGGAGGTCTTGCGGTCAGACAGCACAATGATACGATCACGAGCCTCAATAGCGGCAGTGGCTTCTTTGCAGATATAGTCAAGATGTCTGATGTAGCCCACAATGCCTTCCTTCTTGGGGAATGTCAAGTCAATGATTTTGACAGTCCACTCAGGATGGATAGTAGACATGTTCTTGAGCGCATTGAACTCAGGGATGGAGAGGATGGGGCTAGGAAGCAAGAGTCTTCCACACTGAGAGGAATCCATCTCCAGCAGGTTGCCCTGGGGACCAATATAGCATTCAAGAGACATGACAATCGACTCTCTGATGGGATCGATGGGCGGGTTGGTGACCTGAGCAAAGAGCTGACGGAAATATTCGTACAGCAACTTGGGAGCATCGGACAAACAGGCAAGCGGAGCATCATTACCCATGGAACCAAGAGCCTCCTTTTCATCTGAAGCCATGGGGCCAAGCAGCAAGCTCACTTGCTCAAAGGTGTATCCAAAAGCGTGCAACAGAGGGTCCTCCTGGATCCTGGTGTCATCAGGCTTGGCAGCAAGCTCGATGCTCTGGCTCTGGGAAAGCGTCTCGAGAACCTGGGGCATGGTGATGAGCTCGTTGTCAAGCCATGACCTGAAATCCTCGCGGCTAGAGACAGCAGCCTTCAACTCGGAGTCATCAATGATGCGGCCGGCGCGAGTGTCCACGAGAAGCATGCGACCAGGTTGGAGACGGCCCTTCTGAATGATCTTCTCGGGCTCAACAGGGATAGTGCCGACCTCAGACGCGCAGATAATGCGGTCGTCATCCATCACATAATAACGGCAGGGTCTGAGACCGTTACGATCCAAGTTGGCACCACAGAAACGACCATCAGCAAAGGTGAAGAGAGCAGGGCCATCCCAGGGCTCCATCTGGCAAGCTGCCCACTCATAGAAGGCCGCCTTCTTGGGATCCATGCTCTGGTTCCCTTGCCAAGCCTCGGGCACCATCAGCATGACGGCCTCGGGAAGAGAGAGCACGCCGTTGATGGTGAGGAGCTCCAACACGTTATCGAAGGCAGCAGAGTCGGAACCGCCAGCCTCAACTATAGGGTAGAGAAGTTCCAGCTCATCTCCAAAGACATCAGATTGCATGACACCTTCACGGGCACGCATCCAATTCTTGTTACCGCGAAGGGTATTGATCTCACCTGGGAAGATTCTGTTAGCGAGGGAGCACCAAGTGTTTTACAGTCAGGATCTATCACATACCATTGTGAGCAGCCCATCGGAGAGGCTGGGCACGATCCCAAGAGGGGAAGGTGTTGGTAGAGAAACGCGAATGCACCAAGGCAAAGTGAGCCTCATAGTCATAGTTCACCAAATCATTGTAGTATTGGTAAACCTGAACCGGCGCCAGCTGACCCTTGTAGACAATGTTCTTGTTGGAAAGGGAGCAGATGTAGAACCAGTTCTGCAGCCCAATCGTGTGTGTAGCTCTCTTCCGGAGGACATAGAGCTGCCGCTCAAACAGCCTCTCGTCAAACTTCTCGGGGTCGGTTGTTTCTGGTTCATTGCCGGACCCGTAAGCAGACTCTAGCACAACGAAAGGCTGCAGAATGGAAGGCTCTCGGGAAAGAGCAGCAGGACCAAGCAAAGTTGAATCCACGGGAGGCTCTCGCCATCCCAGAACTCTCAAGCCCAACGACTCGGCAATCTCTTCCAACTGCCGCTTCGACTCCTGCAGTGTCTCAGGATCGGGCTTGAAGAACAAGTTTCCCACAGCATACTGGCCCAGTGGAGGAAGCGTGACTCCAACTTCGCGCGCAAAGTTCTTAATGAAGAACTTGTGGGGGATCGATGTCATGACACCCGCACCATCACCATCGCGTGCGTCTGAACCCACGGCACCACGATGGGTCATGTTGCAGAGGAGGTTTCGTGCATCGCTGACAATCTTGTGGCTAGGCTTGCCCTTGATATGGCTGTAGCGTGGCAAATTAGCGTTTGGTCAATGTACTTGGAGTTTGTTTCTGGGGCCTTACCAAGCAAAGCCTACACCACAGGCATCCTTTTCGAGCTCGGGATCGTACAATCCCCTAAACAACATTTGATTAGCGACCTGGCCAAGTTATCACAAGGGGATCGGATTTAACGCACTGCTTCACCGGCAAGGCGCCAGCCCACGAAGTGTTGTTCTCTGTTTGGTATTCATAGGGATGATATTCCTCTTTCTCTGTCTCAAGATGCACTTGTCGGTCGTCGAAATCCTCGATAGCGCCCATGCTAGGCAGGCTGTCCTTGGCAAACGCTCGAGGTATGGGTATCGTTCAGAAAGAGTCAAAGGCGCCGACTTGGCTTTTGGAGCTCAAGTTTGTAAAAATGGAGAACAGAAAGGAAGAAGGGATGGCTCGGATGAGAAAAAAGGATCTGGGAAAAGAAGAGTCAGTTAACTGTCATGGCACGGTTCAAGTGTTAATGGCCACGAATCCGATCTGCACAGCGAAGTGGGGGGTTTTCCGAATATTGCAATTATGCAGTTGGACGAAGGCGAGGCGTAACGGCTCTATGCTGGGGATCCGGGCAGAAACCAAAATGGACGATTGTTGCAGACAAGACACACGACAGTAGGTAAGGACACCGAGCCAAGCAGCAAATGCCCGATCTTGGCATGCTGAACCAGCTATCATGGGCAACAGGCTGGCGGGACTCTGGTCAAGCTCTCGCGACAAGAGAGCATGAGGGAGGGGCTCCGAAGCCAAGACACACCGGGTCCCTGATCCGCATCATGATAACACACCATCCGATGGCTTGCTGCGGAGAACGTCAAGACAAGACCTTGGGTAGTGTGGGTGGGTGTGTGTGTGTCCATGTGCGAGTTGGTGGTGATGCCCTCCTGCGGTGGTACTCGAGTGCTGTTTGGAGTTACACCCGCAGCTGCTGCTCGTGTGAGCCTGTGATGCGATATGACGAAAAAAGCCAATTGCAATCTTTCTTATCGCGGCCATGCGGCTATCGTCCTGTCTTTTGATAGGCCAACAGCATCCGGTATCGACAAGACCCCAGCCCCAAGCGTATTTTGCCGGGGAGATCAGATGGAAGGCATGACCACCGGTATTGATATGGTGGTGTTGACGGTGTTTGTCAGCGCAGCCAATCTCCACGCCATGGGAAGCAGCCAGCAAGTGAAAGTGGTGGAGGCGAAGAAGCTCCATGCCGTTTTGGTGATAGTGAGGAAGATGAATGTGGGATGCACAGGCGGGGGAGTGGGCGGCCGGGGGCGACCGGCAGATCCCAGCCACAAGTTCCCCCAAGGACCAGGACTCCTAGCGAGGCGGGGGCGGGGTCCACCAAGTGCGCCAGGGGCATCACCACAAAAGTTGGCTTTACCCTGCGTTTCCACTTGGTGACGACGGTGTTCCCATGTTGTCCATTCTTGTTGTCTCGTCATGGCCGTGAAGGAGATGCCAAGTTGTTGCTGACTTGCCCGTACTAATAGCCATGTTGTTTTTGAGCTTCCGATCTGCTACTGTGTCATGTCTTTGCAGCGCTCTCTTTCTGAGGGGGATGGCTTGTGACTCCGGTTTCGGAACACCCGTGGCGCTTTGTGTCTTGGGAGTGGTCTCGGCTGGAAGCTTGAAAAAGTACGTATCTTCTGGGCTGAGTGTCGTGTGTCAGGTGTGTGGGGTCGCTGATTACCGGCCGGTCGTAAACTTGGTACGTAGCTTGTGAAATCGCGGGGCCATGATGATCGTATGGTGTTTTCTCGGGAAATTGAAGCCTTATGGTTTGCTAGACTCGCAATGGAAGAGATCAAGGCATGACGAGTTGGAGTCGACTAGGTGTCCGACGCCGATTCTCGTGTGTCTTGTAGCGGCAGTTTCCATGTCGGAGCTCGCGGTAGAAGTGTCGCCGAATGTCGTTTCGTATTGTCCAAGCAACGGAACTGGCAAGAGGGGGAGAGGGAATGGGAAGGGGAGGGTTTGGACCTTGACGTTAGCTACTTACTTGTAAACCCGACTTGGGAGAGCACCTCCTCGTTGACAAGCTGAATACTGTAGGCACCTGTTGAGTGGCAGACGGAGGAACAAGGCAGTGCCAGGTGTAGGAGGGTCGAAAGTGCACAAGAAAAGAGAAAAAGAGAGGATGGAGGAGAGGAAGGGGTGGCGATGGCGGATTTTATGAACAGGACGGGCACTCGGGGGAGGGGGGATGTTCGGGAGGACACGCCAGCGCAGAACGGAGGACGGAAAAGGTGGTCAACTTGGTTGGTGGCCAAAGAAGCCGCTCGGGGCAATTCAAACGACAGATCCGACTTTCTTTGGTCGGCTGTCGGGTTGCTCCAAGTCAAGAGAATGGCCGGTGCGGAGCACACATGAGAAGTGGAAGCAGGCCAAGCCGCAGTCCCAGGCCCTGGAAAGATGCAAAGGCGAGAAAAGGGACCATGTCCGTCCGAATTATCGACAGGTAGCCGGGCGGGCCTAGTGAGCAATCCAGAGACGCAGATTGGTCCGTTCTCACAGTCGAAGCATGTGGCGCCAAAACAGGAATAACTGAGGGTATATTGGCACAGGTGAGTGGGGGGAAACACGCCCAAGTGGGGAGATTTCCATTCCTCTTCTCCAACTTGTTTCCATTTCATGACTCTATCGATAAAATGAATTAAATTCTAGGTAGAGAACCATATTAAGCGACCATTGGAATTCATGGCCTACGTCGATTAACAGCAATCGTCGGTTTTCCCTGCATTGGCTATAAGGTCGACAAAACAACTTCTCGCGCATTCGTACACCGGCTGCAAGCAAGCGCGAGAATGGTCACCCTGCCATACTCTCATGGCACACAAAACGGCTCTCTTGCTGCATTTAAATCAACTGTACTGCGCTCTACCCAATGCCGTTTCCCCCCTTCGCGAATGCCCAAGCTCATCCGGATCTCAACCATTTTAAAAACGGGGCGGTACCATAATACCATGCCTCGCATGCCTCTCTCCAAAGGCCCGCCTTTACCACTCCACAACCCTTGTGAGGCCGAACAAGTTCTGCAAAGGGTAAGGGGAGTTATTGTGACCACATGATTCAGTTGTGTGACGATGTTTGGACACTCCGCTTCCCGTGTTTATAAGCAACTTACAGGCGGTATCACGACCTTCGGGCTGGCCCGGCAAACCACGTCATGGACGTTTTTTTTTTTTGGAAGACTGATCAGACGAGTTGAAAAGGATATCGTTTCTATCCCCATCGCCAAGACTGAATTGTGTTGCTGTTACTGTGGGCGTCAGCTGTGTCCGGTGGGGGTGAAAGCTCTCGATGGTTGACTGAACACTTTTTTTTCAACGAAGAGAGTTGTGTAAATAAAATAGAGCCAATAACTTACACCCCACACTCACAGCGTCCATCTTGCATCCAGTTGGAGTTAGCCCGAGATCCAGCGTTAAGTGCATGCAAGGCATCCATGTTAAACTTTTTAACCCCTGCTCGAATGGCTGAATGGCAAGGAAGAGAAGAGGTCACAACGTCGTGCCCTCAGCAATCCAATCATCAAGCTTGCTTTTCCAACACCCATCTCACAAGGGCCGATGTCGCCGGCACGCACCTCATGGCTCATGGAGCACTCGGTCAGGTCCCTGGACTCCCTGGAGACCCTGTGCGCCGGCGCGGTCGAGAACGAAGCGCATTTACCAATAACATGTGAGAAGCTTGTACTGATTCAGAGTCAATACAGGATCCTTCTTTCATACGGCACATGCGGTCTCCTCACCCTACTCAGCCCGTGAATCGGGCGTCATTGATTTAAACAAAATCCCGTCTGGGCAATATCCCACGCGCCGCGGTTTGTCGGTGGTCTTGTGGTACGACAGTTGAACCCCCAGACCATTCGATTCATCGGCGATGCGACAACGGCTCCCACCCAGTCGCCCGGAGCCAGGCAGAATCCTATTGAGATCTCTTCAGAAGGGTGCAACCGTTCAGAAAGCGGGAAAAAGAATGGTCCCAAAGGAGAGTTAACCAATAGGAAAATCCAATGCGGTCGTAACAGCGCTGCAGAGTCACCCGAAAAGAAACCATGACCTGCCCTTGGCCGAAGATAGGGGTGAGACAATACATATGTTGATCAAAGATGTAAAAAAATCATCAGCACAAAACACCACGCCCCGCCAACCAAACCGAAAACCGCGGCTCGAGCTCACATCAATCCTTATCAAATCCACACCCCCAAGAATACTGTGGTATGCCTGTTTTCGCCCAGAGAAGAGCAGTGGGCACGAGTAATTCCCGAATCGCCGGAATCCTCAACCCAACATTCTGCTGCACGGACGGGATATTCGTGCGAAAGTTGATATGCCTACCGGCACTGATATGAACAAACCAAAAGCTCGCTGAACCGCAACTAGGTACCACATCGCGCCATCTTAAATCTCGAAGACCGCAGTCCACTACTGTACCATCCAATATGATCGATGAGATCGTGGGTCCCGTCCACCTTTAACCGCTCGGGAGGGTCAATTGGCAGAAGGCCCACTGAGACTACGTCACCCACTTTAAAAGATTGCGGGATACCGAGGACAAGCGACACTACGCACAGCTCCCCATAGTTGGAATAGGACATATACTACAGCAAAAATTAAATTCGTCGTCTCGCTTCGACCGCTACTATATTCCCAACCTTCCCTCTGACTAGGCCAAGAGATGGAAAAGTCCGTGTGGTGATGTCTCTGTGCATCGCTACCTCCCGTGGTCTGAATGGATATAACAAAGGCGGGGTAGCAGCTGGGAGGTGTGGAATTGGCACCCTTCACCCAGCGAAAAAAGACAAGGGACCGTGGACTTTTTAGGGAAAATAAACATCGTGATGGTGTCCATCCGAAACGAGGGAAGTGGGGGTTACCTATGCTCTTTTGAAAGTTCACGAGAGCTGTCGTTGTGAACGCGGAAAGAAAGAAACCTGAGATGCATTAACTAAACTTGAAGACAACCGCCCGCGCCGGCTCAGTTCGAAGCAGAAGCTATATAGTAACTTTTTCAAGTGGAGGTATCGTATCTGTTGTTGTAAGTCCGAGGAATTATGGTCTACCTTTCAAACATCCGATTCCGGGAACTTCCTGTCTTCTGTTTGGGAACATTGGCAGAGGAGTCATCAACCTACGCAGCCTTGGCATCTTCTCGACTTCACACACCTCACCACATTGCCTTTCAGCACGGCGTTACTTTCTACAAAGACCGACATCGGCGGTCTACTACGCAACCCCCCTTGACTTGGGGGATTGACCAGCCGGAAGCGAGCGAATCCAACATGAACTTGTCTTCCATGAAGCCTGATAGGTTCGATGCCCATTCGCAACACAGAGCATGGAATGAGTTTCCCCCTCGTTTATAACTTTACAAAGCCAAAACACAACGGCCAACGGGCGCGAGCATCCTCAAGGCATTTCTACTCCATAGCATCACAGACAACAACCACTCTGTCCTTCGACAGTAAACATTCGCCAAGGAGGCCGGAACAGAAGCAGCAGTGGGAATAGAAGGTGCTTCCGAAAACACCCGATAACTAAAGCGCCTAAGCAATGAAATGGGGTGTGCTAGCTCCTCAGCTAGGTCGGATGTCAGACTCCCATATCCGTCTCCCATTTGTGAGGAACGAGTGAGAGCGTGGGAGGTTTCAACACAAAAGAGGAAAGGCATCTTGCACTACCGCATGCAAGCATTTGAGAGCATGCAGAGACCGCGGTAGGGACAAGGGGTCGATAGTCAGTTCGAGCCAGTCAACAAGGGGAATTGAAGTGCTTTGTGCCGTTCAGAGTCGTAGGGGAGGCTCTCCGATTACCTCATGGAAACTATGTGAACCTGTCCCTTGGAAACGACCCGGAGTTCTCTTTTGTGGGTGTCGTTTGCTGTTGTGACTTTGTGGCTTTGTCTGACGGTTCTGACGAGACACGGACCGGACGAAACCAGGAGATCAGCGGGATAGCCTAGAGACACATGATGAGTATAGAAGTCGAGCTCGGTTGTTATGGTAACCACACTCTGGTCACGCCCATGATAATACTTAAACCAAAATCATGCTAAATTGCAATCTTACTTGAAGTGAAAACAAAAGTTCCAGGAATATCAGTTGAAATGTTACCTTAACAAGATCATCCATCAGGGATCCTCAAATGCTTACACAGTAAGTGCGCGGGCCCTATAAAGGGCAGCAGCCAGCAGATGTAGCCGCATCGTGGGGTAAAGCTCAGGTACGTACCTGCCCCTGGCTGTAACTGCGCATACGCACTGGGTAGAGGTACCTGTACCGTTACTGTAGTGACATAAAGGTTTGCTAGGGATCTCATCCAAAACACCATGGTCTATTTGGAGAAGCTGAATTCACGACATTTCACTTATCACCACTTTGGTTAGACATCAGACCTCAGTGATCCGTACAAATCAATAGGCCCATTCACCCTAATAATTTCCCTTCCCCACTCCACAATACCTTTGCGGTTTATCGACCAACATTAATGTTAACAACCACGACATCATCCCCAGAGAACTTCAACATCAACGCGCCCTGGCTAGTCCCAAAACCTTCAGTGGAATCTTTCCGCCTACATATTCACAGCTAAAATCGGGCAAGCCGTCGCGGTCCTAGTTGCAGGTCAAATTCTGCATGCGGTGTATTTAACGATCAACTAACCAACAACTCGACCGGTCCTGCAACGGAAGTCTCGTCAACAATAAAGCAACCATGTTTTCCGTTCTCCCTGACCTGGCCCCGCGCGACGTAAGTTTTGATACCTTATCTCTGCTCTGCTCAGCCCTACCCCTTCTCACATCACACCTGACCCCTCCAATCCTACCTAACACTCATCTTGCTTATCATCTTGCTAACCACAAACAAACAGTCCCACTCCCTCTGGTACACCTCCTCCCGCAACCCTCTCGCATCCTCAACCTCTGGCCTCCTCTCGCCCTTCGACCCATCCCTCTCCCTTTCCTCCTCCACTTCCCCAGACGGTCTGATCAACAACTCACAAGCCACCAACCACAACACCACTGGCACCACCACCACCAGCAATCATCACGCCCAGCACAACAGCCGAAATGCCTCCCGCAACATCCAAGCCGCCATCATCGAGCGCTCCCTGCTCGGCCACCTCCGCGCCGACGAGACGTACATGGAGCGCCGCAAGGCCAACGTGAGCAACCTGGGTAGTACCTGGCTGAAGCCACCGGGGGTCAGCAAGACGCTGTTCCAGATGCGCGAGGAGGAGCGTGAGAGGCAGGAGCACGAGGAGGCGATGCGGCGCGAGGAGATGCTGGCTAGGGAGCTGGCGGAGGCGGAGGCTGCTGCCGCTGCTGTTGCTGCTGCTGCCGGTGGTGGTAATATCGGTGCTGGTGTTGGTATTGGTGATGGGAATGGGACTACGGTGTTGGAGGAGGTTGCTGGCGTGGAGGGGATAGACGTGGGGAATACGGATACAGTTCCTGGTGGTGCTGATGGTGGTGACATGGAGATGATGGAGGGTGGTGATGACATGGATGAAATGGGAGGGAGGGATTTGGATGAGGACATTCCGGATGCGGATGAGGGTGGGTTTGGATATGATGGGGCTAGTGACGACGATGATGAAGAAGAGGAGCAAGAGGACGAAGACGAAGAAGATGAGGGGGAAGAGGAAGAAGCAACCACCGAACGCAACACCACCGTTGGCGATCATGGCAACGACGACGAAGACACAGTCGAAGCTCCCCACCCACCAACAGCAACGAGCACCGGCTCCTCCATCCTCCACCCCCGCGGCCGCAACGACAACAACAACAATCACCAGCAACAACAGCAACAGCGGGAGCTAGCCAACGTGCGTGCCAACGAAGAACGCATGCGCGAGATGATGGCCCGAGGCGGTCTCCGGCCCACGCACATCAACCTAGCCGACAGCGCCGCGGACGAAGACGATGACATCGACGAGGAAGACCAAGCCCACATACTGGAGGAAGACGACATCATCGGCACGAACAACCACAGCGCAGGATACGCTGACGAAGATGAAAGCATGATGGACGACAGTCTAGGCATGAACGCCAACCTGGACGATGACATCCCCGAAGCGGACGAGGAGCATGCGCAAAGCGGTTTCTATGAGCATACCGATTCCGAGGCGGAGCTTCTTGATAGCAGCGATAACGAGGGGGGACAAGAGCAAGTCAACACAGGCGGCATAGCCATAGGCAGCAGTGGTAACGGTAACGGTGGTAACGGCGGTAACATGAGCCGCGGCCATAGACGTGTTAGCTACGGGCCTGGCTCGGGAGCGGGATCAGCGCAGGGCCAGCATCGCCGCGTATCGCTGCCGAGGCAGCAGCAGCAGCAGCAGCAGCAACAGAGGCTGTTGAGAACTAGTCTTACGGGAAGTGCTAGACGGAGTGCCATAGGAGCGCCAAGGAGCAGTCTGGATATCAGTGGGCTGTTGTCTGTTGATGAGAGCAGTCCCATGATGAGAAGTAGTCCAAGGGTGAGGAGGATGCACTAGAATGACAGTCCACGATGGTTCGAAAAGAGAAACAAGGGAAGGTCAGAATTGCGGACGGGAGTTTTCGGCAGGAACGCTTAGCAAGCATCATTTTGATACCAGGTCGTTTGGGTCTGGCGCATGGAGTCTTGGGATCATGGCAGTATGGATAGGTTATTCATGGGTTAGGAATCGGGGTTGAATAGATAGCCTCAAAAGACAACTTGGGTCTTCTTTGCAGCCTTAACCGCAGTTCTGATGAGTGTCTGTTATACACTTAATGATCAACCACCTCAGGTATACTTGTTGCCGTCCCCAGATTCATGATGAATCAGTATATTAGAAGAAGTACTTAAAACCTAACCAGACCCAAGAAGAACAGAAGCTTGAAAGCTCGATTCCTGAATCCACCCAAACAACGAACAAACGCGAACTCCCCAGCGCCAGCATGCAAACCAAGTCCACCAAGAATCTACCAAGGGCAGCCCCATATCCATGCTTTTTCTATCCCATAAGGCAGCCACCCACATTAACGTAGAATATTCCTGCTTCCTCCGTCGTCATCCACTCATCCACTCATCACCCATCATCGAAGTCATATATACCGTCCCATCCCGTCTTTCCCTAGCACCACAACACATAATGTGTTTGCGTTTGCTGTTTTCATCTCCATCCCATCATCATGCTCATGTCACTTGGGCCTCCTGCGCAGCAGCACAACCACACCACCGGCCAAAACTCCCTATCTCTCTCTCTCTCTTTCAAGTTCAAGTTCAGAAGAACCCCCTTTCAAAAGAGGTACTAGAGATACCTCACGTAGAAAAAGAGGAACACCACGGCGGCGAAGAAGGCAAGCCATACCCTCCACCCGACGTTGGTCTTTTGCGCCATGATGAGCATCCGGTTCATGGTGCCGCGGAGTCGGAGGCGGGTCTGGTCGAAGGATTCGTTCATTTTTTCGGCGAGGGCGGAGGAGTCTCGGATTTCGTCGCCGATTGCTATTGTCATCTGTTTGGAGGGGAGGGTGTGGTTAGTTGATGGCTGGCAAGTATGAAAGGAGAGTGGGAGAGCAGGACGTACATCCTTCAGAATCTTGACTTTACCCATTATCCCCTCCACCTGCTCATCGTTCTGGCTCTCAAGCTCGTTGAGGACTGCGTCGCTGTACTGGCCCCTCGAATTCGGCGTCGCAGGCCTAAACCCTCCCCTCTCCACCCCCAGCGTCGACGAACTACCGTTATAACTCCCACTCCCGCCGCCGCCGCCGACACCACCCCCGTACCCATATCCGCCGCCGCCGCCATAGCGGGCTGGGCTGGCGTTGGCTGAGCGGCGCTCGGCGGCGCTGGAGCCGGAATAGCCCTTGAAGAGGTCGCTGCGCGGGTCGCGCTGGTGTAGGGAGGAATGCGCAAATCTGGATTATAAGGGGAAAGAGAGAACTAGTTGTTAGAATGATGTTTTCTTATTTGTTCGAGGAAGGGGTTATGTGGTCTGTGGCACGGGGAGCGTGTTGGCTGGTGAAGTTGAGTGGGGGGGTGTGAGCGGTTGACCGGGCGGCATGGGGGATGGATCGAGTTGACAGTTTCGGTTTCGCTGTCATTCTCGCTCTCGTCGCCAGTGCTGTTGTGGTCGCGCAGCTGTCGCGATTGCTTCGCATCATGGTATTGTATTCGTATCGTATCCTATACGGCATGGTAGAAGGCGTGTTGGCGAAACTTTGAAACCAGAGCGATGACGTAGTTGAGGCCGTCGCGCCGTGCCAGGGGGCATGTCGAGAGATGATAACTTGTCTAACCACCATGATATCGATGCTGCTGCCTTTTGTCCGCAGACATCCTCCGATGGTGATATCGTACACCTGTTCACCGGAACCGGGCAGCTCGATCGATCGCTTCGTGTGTGTCGGTCGTGGGGTCGGGTTGGTTGACGGGCCAAGTCGCATTCGAATTGGGAAAGGTGGCATCTGCGTGTGGTGTGGTGCAATGCAAGACGAACGTAAAAGAGAATCGCACTCACCTGGAAGCCATATCGAGAGTGAAATTCGGGTCGATCAGTCGTTAGGATGGTAGGAAGTTAAGAAAGTAGCTACTAGGTAAATATCAAGAAGATGAAATGGCAAGTTCCATAGCGTCGGGCGGTGGGTGTGCGGGTGGTGAAGAAAGAAAATAAAGTTGGATGGACCCTTGGCCCAGTCGCCGGCAGATCCCCCTTTAATTTTGTGGTTCCCCTGTCCGGTCTCCGCCCGAGCTTGTCAGGCCAGATGTTAGTGTGCCGTCGAGGTACATAACATCTGTCCGACTTAAATGGCTAAAAGGTACAAATATCGTTCGTGCCACATGGTGTTAACAAAGACGGCTTGAATGAACAGCTGGCCTGGTGTCACGTTTCTGAGAGAGCTCGACAGTCCTTTCCCCCAATGTATCTGGCCTTGATCATTTGCTTTCTTTTGAGGTTGGGGAGGCAATAGGTTCGGCGTTATGCAAAGTTTGTTACCTGACATTGGCCAATTAGGCATTCAACGCCGTCTCCAGTTTTATTATACTTTTTTCTTCACCTTGTCGCGTCGGCGATGAATTGATTCACGTCAGATTGTGCGAGACGCGTGGATTTTAGTAGCAGCTTTTTGAAGCGAAACCAAGCCGAAGACGAGACTTTCAGAAACGTCGAAGCTTTAGAAGCTGAAATCATGCATTCGCGCAAATGTTGGCGTCTAGAGGGGCGCTAAACCAGGTACGCGGTGGATCAGGCCAAGATCGCGAACCTTGTTGGTGCGATGCTCCAGTTCCTGACGTCTGCTGACGTCTGCTGTGTACTCCAAGGACGGACAGAGCCGACTTCGAATGTCGATAGGGATGGCAATTGCCAAACACCCCGGAATATCTGTCTCTTACAAGCCGTAGCTATAACACCGTGTCTGCCTCGCCCTCGGCTGAGCTTGGTTACTGGCACTCCATCCTGTCAGGACAACTGCCCTCAACAGGGAATCATCCAGTCTCCACTCATGGGGGTTAGGTTAGTCAAGACAAGCGACCAGTGATACTTTTGAATTGGCTTGACAGAAGAGATCGCTCTACCTGATAAACGAAGCGACCACTCACTCCCTATCTATGGATTGCCATATTCTGATTTGTGAACTCCCAGAAGCATTGCAAAAAGAAAAACAGTCCATAAAGCCCCATAGCTGACATTCACGCACATAATAAGTTTCCCAACCAAGCTTCAATAGCAACCAGCCAAAAGGCCCTTACATCCCAAAGCTTGTGATCATCATAAGCAAACCCAACCAGCCACTGGCAGCGAAGCGCAAAGCCAAGGGGAAAACCAGGAAAAAAAGAAACAAGGATTTGTTGCGTTGTGAACCATCAAAGGATATCAGAAGATAGCCTCGGTCTACTCCTCCATCTCCTCATCCTCGGGCACAAACTCCTCGTCATCCTCCTCATCGTCCTCCTCGGCAGGCAGGTCCTGGGCAGCCTTGGCGTAGTCGATCTCCTTCTGGCGGGTGCGGGGACCACTGATCACGTTGCTGGGGTCGATCTCCTCGAGGTTGTCCTCCTCTGGTTTTTTGTGTTAGTTACTGTAAGTAAGCTGCTGCTGCGCGATCATCACCCGTGATTGTGCGTTGGATGATGGATTCAAAGGCAATTAACATACCAGCTTCGGGCTCCTGCAAACGGGATGGTTAGCACATGCAATGCGCAAGAAGGAACTCTGAGAAGCGCGGGCAATGCCCTTATGGCCAAACTCACCTCAGTCTCATCTTCGTCCTCATCATCCTCATCGTCCTCAGCCTCACCCATGGGGTGGTCCTCGGACTCAGCGGGAGCCTTGCCCTTACCCTTGCTTTCAAAGGTGGTGTTGGCCTCGGCGGTGCCAGCGAGGGTGGCGTCGGTGGTGCCGTTCTCGGTAGACATTTTCGAGATGGGTTAAGTAGCAAGAAGGGTGGTTTTTGTTTCTGCTTGTCTGCGCGTAGGCGATAGTGGATGGATCCGATCAACAGATTCCAAAAATGGTGATTAGTTCTTGTTAATGAGGCTGAACGCGACCAAAAGTTTGGTTTGTCAAGAGAGAGTTTTGGCTTGTGAGGTGAAGTCAGGTGGGGTGAGAGAGTTCCAAGATGTGATGTTTGGGAGTTGGTGGTGACTTCCAAGTTGAAGTTGAGCTGATGGTCCGTTGAGAGAGCAACGAGACAGGCGCGCAATGACATGGGAGCAGCGAACAGCTTCCAAGTGCCCACTTTCCAATTACTTGCAGTAAAGAGGCGGGAAGCTAAGTAAGGACCCACTTGCCATTTGGTGGTGGAGCAGTCTTCAAACAGCGCTAAACTATATCGGCAAGCCTCACCACTGGCGAGCAGCTGTCAATCACGACGCAAGGGTAGGGGCCGTGCAGCTGAAGCGGGGCCCCCTGCTTCGGTACGCAGCGTCCCCGTCCCACCTGCACTGACGCAAGGGGCAGAAGTCGCCAGCTGGAAGGTCTCTAGTGATGAGGAACGCGACTGAATTGGAAGTCTCCCTGTACTACAAACGAAATATTCACGCCGTGAGGTGAGTAAGGCAAGGGGGTCCCTCAAGACAGGAGCACTGCGATCAATACAACAGGCGCGAAACGGGCATCCTCACCGAGAGATGAATGTGTAGCAAAGTTCTATACAAGAAGACTTGTTTGACCAGGGAAGGAAAACAATGTGAACAATCTATCGATTACTTCCCATCGCCTCCGCCTCCCAGGGAGAGGACCATAACAATGGCAATAACCCACCAGTACCTATAGCGCAGCAAACAGTCTCGTCAGCAATCATGGTCATCCTCTCAATGGTACCAGAACTCGGGGGCGGGGAAAGGGGTTCAATATACTTCTGTAAAAGCGTCTTCTCCTGCGGCACCACCTGCTTGCCCTCCGGCGACAGCACAACCGGCTTGTTCAGCTCTGGCTGCTTGCCCTGCGTTGTGCGCACCAGCACCGCCTGCGGTCCAAAGTCCCTTGTCTGTCCGGCATCGATCCTGATGCCTTTGAAGGCGACGCCCAGGACGTGCTGGTTGTCATAGCTCCCCTTCTGATTGCTCTCGTCCACCGACAGCACAAAGTGTGGCGCGTACCCCTTGCCAAAGTTTTCCGCCGATATGACTGATGTAGAGGACGCCCACTTCTTTTCCGCCTTATCGTACACGCCGATGCGTAGGAGCTCGTGGCCCTCCAAGTCGTCGAGGATCTCGGGCGCTTCGTAGGCAGACACCACCGGTGTTACCGCGCTGCTTGGGTCTTGTGCGGTGTCGTAGCTGACTTCGGCGAGGAAGGATGGCGCAGAGGAGGAGTTGACGGGCTGGATATAGATTGGGACGGTGACGACCTGAGCCGTTGCGGCCGTTGCGGCGACCAAGAGCGCCGAGGCAAGCGACGCGAGGAGCTTCATGGTGGATTGGGGATTGTCGGGATCGTGTCGACCGGGTGGCTGCTCTAGTCTTCCAAGATATCGCTTGCTGCTTGATGGCGACGCGGAAAAGTTGCTGCTGTCGGGCGATGAGAAGCGGACAAGTCATGAACAATGACGAAAATGGAGCTAGAGCTGGAGATGCCCGGGCCCGAGCTTGTGCTGTCACTGCTGGGTAGTAAAAGGTGGGTCCCGGTGTTAAGCCCGGCCTTGGCATTTTTTCCCGATTGATAGCCTGGTGGGGTCTCCATCCGCTCCAGGGCCGATCACCGGCGCCGGTTGAGACTTGAGAGGGCCTGACGTCCGGTCTACAGGATAGGTCTGGACTTTCGGTACGTCCGGAACCGACACCGATATCATTACTGCTCGAACCAATGTCATGAAATGGATTAATTAAATCAGGAGAGAGAGGCATCCTGAGTAGAAAAAAGAAATTCAGTTTCGCTTCAGTGGTATCTACGAAAAGTGCTATCCCTACAAAAGTGTCTGGGTAGAAAGAACAGCCCATTCATCTCCAGAGATACCGCTGTTTCGCCGCGGTGCTTCATCGGACAGCCCAATCATCTCAAATCTGTTATGCCGTAATGTTCCCTTTCCCATCCATTTGTTGTGACTTGGCGTGGTGTTTGTCTGGAACGGGAGCAGTACTCTTCCGGCTTGGGTCCTTTAGTTGCTTGTCTTCGATAACCAAGATCACCTTCTTCCATTGTGTCCACGCCCCCAAATTTCCTGTTCGTCTCCAATCGATACCCCATCACTTGGTTTCCGTAGGCAGAGTGTCCTTGAAGAATTTCCGGCGATTCCATGATTACCTCATGGTCTTTTGCTTTTTTGGATAGATGCTTCCTTGTCGCTTTTGTCCAGATAAAGTCCCCTGTTGACTTTTCTCTATGAACTCCCCGTCGTTTTGATCCTCCATGCGCTCTATTTTTCATTCCCCACGTCCAGTTGATATACCCCAGCTCAGGATCGGACATGACCGGTCGATTTGAGCCGAAGAGCACCTTGGTTACGTGGCATGTCTATCCCTTTTTCTTCAACTCATCTCCTCTTCTCCTTCTCCTTCTTCGCCGTCTATATCGTCGTCGTCGTCGCCTATCGCATCGCTTTCATCTAGTTCTTCGTCTTCGTCTTCGTCATCTGCTTCTTCTGGTTCTGGAGATTCCAGCATGTATCCTGGGCATCTAGCCACGAGTCCACCATAATATGCGACAAGAACGTCGGGGTCGGGTACAATCTTCCAGTCAACGCGATGAAGGAATTCCAGCTCAAGCATATTGAGTTCGGCGACTCTGACACCCCCGACCCTCGCATATAGTGTATTGGTTAAGAAGGAGTCAGAGAGCCCCTTGGCGGCAACAGTAGCGGCTGTTATCAAAAATCGATGAACGGTAAGTGTGTTGATGGTGAAGTCCGAGTATAGCGCGCAAAGCCGGTCGATATAATAAACCATAGAAAGAAGTATTGGTGGTGGCAGATAGGCATGTTTTGCGAGTCGGTGAAGATAATCCAAAACTGATATTCCAGGGGCCGTTCTGTAAAATTCCCTGTCAGCAGCTTGTCCTTTCGTCCGCATCATGATCAGATCCAGGCCGTTTGGGGAATGAAGGCTGCCTACCGGGAGTGAAACCTCGTAAGGTTATGACGCTGCCCAGCTTTCTGAGCCTGCTCGTCGTTAAGTTCAATAAGCTCGCCCAGCATATGCGCAATGAGCACAACCAGGTCTTCGACTGGACAGTGCTCATATCGCCGGGGCACGATTTTGGGCGCTAACCTCGCACGCTTAGGGGAGTGCGGACCGCTTTGCCCGGCGCTCGCCGCTTCAACTTGGCTGTGGGTGACGTCGCCTTGCGAGTTCCTCCTCTTCATCACGGGGGTACCTGTCTGAGGAGTTTGCGACACCGGATGCGGTTGGGGCGCCGCTGAGGAGACCGGAGGAGTCGGGGGCACTGCCACGGCCACCGTCGGGCCATGCGGAATGGGAGCAGCGGCAGCTGCTGATGTGGAGGCCGAGGCCGAGGCCTGCTCCTCGTGGGAAGCCATGGGCTCGACGGAGGTAGGTATATGTGGGGGCTGGGACTCGACTGGGTCTCGGGCGACGGCTTGGTTGTTCGAGGATGCAGGGGCTCGACTAGAGAGCAGGGCACCGGTCGTGTAATCCATCGGCTCCATGGGCGAGTACTGGGTCGCTACATCGACGCCTGCCCAGCGCCGAGGCCGGGACGAGGGAGGGGAGCCGGGGCTGGGGCTGGAGGCTGCGGGGGAGGAGGCTACCGGTACTGGGGCGTGTCGTGACTGGATTGGAACGGAAAGAGAGGTGGACGAAGTGGCGGGGGCGGTTGTGGATTGCCGGCGAGAGGATGGGGCCGGGATCCGGGAAGCTGCTTCTCGTGGTGAAGGGGTAGGAGCATAGTGGAAGCGACCATGGGGAGCACCGCGACTCGGTCTCGGAGAGGTTGCGGCTGCGGTCACGGTCACGGTTGTCGTGGGGGAGGTTGCGGCTGCGGAAACGGGAGACCGAGTTACAATCATCCCGGCCTCGTCCGCCTCGCAGGGCGAAGCAGCAAGGCAGGAGTCCCGGCGTGGGCCCGAGCCGATGGCACGGTCGCTAACAGTGGGGCATTGAACAGGGTTGTGTTGTCGATGAGCTTTTTCTCCGTCCACACAATCCCACACGAGGGCTGGTTCTGGACCGTCTTTTGCCCAGAAGGTGACTAGTATGAGGGTGAGGTTTGAGCGCAATTGTTTACCAGCGTTGTCGGAACTCAGTGTTATTCCAGGAGCAAAAGGGGTCGATCTGACTTTAGAAGGCAAGAAATGTGGCCGAGGATCGGTCGATAGTTGGAAGATGACCAGATGGTGTTTGGGGGGGAGACAATGAGAGTTTGGATATGGGTGTCGAAGAGAGAAAAGGTCGGTGGAGACCGTGTGGCAGTACTGTTTGTTAGTACTATGTTGACTCTTGAGAGTTCGAAACACAGAACACGACGAGAGAGGCCAGATCACGTCCACTTGAGGTTCATATACTCCTGTTTTCTAGCTAGAGAACGGCACGGAGGTACATGAAAGATTACGTACGGGGCAGTGGTTGGTTAGTCCTCATGCGTCTGGGAGGATTGGGAGACATCTCACACCATATAAAAACCTCGAGCCAAAACCAAAACCGAAAATGAGTACAGCTGGCGATATCAACAACAGAACATGTACTAACCGAGGACATCAAACTTGTGTACCATCGAGTAAAGATATTATGTAGGTAGCGCCAAAGACCACTGTTTGAGGAGTTATGAGGACAGTACCTCAGGTACCTAGAGTTAGTGACACAAATATCATCAAAGTTTAGGTACCTACGACTTGTCACATGGATGACAACATCGGTATCGCCTCTGAGGGGTACACATATTGGATATAGTAAGTTGGATAGCTAGGTAACAGCTTCTTGTCTCCATGAATAAGTAGCCAGTTCAGTAAAAAAAGGAAAGGTAAGAGAGCTCAAAGCAACTCCAGTCTTGTAGACGTATATACACTATAGACATCGTATGTATGATAGATGCCATGTTAGCGCACCCAAGCGCTACAGCTACCCGGTGAGTTCCTGTGCATAGCACGTCAACCCGAGAAAGAGGAAGGAACCGCCCCGCAGCAGCCCCGGGCCAATCCATCCGTAGCCGTCGTTCCCCGCCACCGTCATTGGCCGTTCACACTCAGCGTTGGACCTTCCGTCTCGTCATGACATTCAATGTTGGACCTCCAACAATAATTCATCGCCGTACCGCTCTTTCGCCAACAGTGCCAACACCAACACCAACACCAACACCAACACCAACACCAACACCAACACGCCTGTTCCATTCATTCCTTTCTTCCTTCCCGTATCGACGCACGAGCTAGTATAAGATAGAGAGCGGCGACCGCCCAAGCGACCTTTCTTCTTCGCGGAGTCTGACACATCTCTCATCGAACGTATCCACCTTTCCATCACGTCAATCGGCCGTCCGTGCAACTCCCCCGGCGCAACTCAGGTTGAGCCATAGCAATATCGGCGACTTTACCAAATAGCTTCACGTACCTATCTTTACCAATACAGAAGCCAAAATTCGGTCTGGTTCGCGGCACAATCGGCTCTGATACGCATAGCTTCAGGTCAACCACTCCGAGGTCGTTACACCGCGGTCTACAGCTTCCGACCCAGTTTCCTCCGTGGACAAGAACGAATCCACAGCTTCGCTGGCAACACATGGCCGAACAGGGAGCGCATTGATGACCGACACGACCGATCGAACCACAAGTTATTACTAGCATCCACACAACATTGATATAGTGCCCAAAGATGGCGCATAGTCAGAGTCCCCCGGCTTTGTTGTGGCAGATTCAGAATGCTAGGAACCATGCCGAGCAGATTGAACTCCTCCGCCAACTCAAGGATGAGGTCATCGGCGATGTCCGGGGCAAGGAGAAGTGGGTGAACCACGGAATACTGCAGTCGCTCGTCCATCTGCTTCAACAAAAACCCACAGCGCAGTCGCCCTCTGGTCTGGGAAGTAAGGAGGCTTATGCGCCCATCAGCCAGACTACGGACTTGCCAGATGATGATCGTGTGCGGCTATTGGCTTTGCAGCTCATCGCTAGTTTTGCCAAAGGTACGTACGCTATGTCTCCTTGAACCCACTGGATATTGCAAAGAGTCAGAACCCTAACCGACATAATTGTTGCAGGTGGTCCTTCGTTTCTTGCACCTTTGAATGCCGTTGGAGTCGTTCCTGTTATTTTGACATATATCTGCCCGCGCAAGAACCCCGCACAGCTTGTCTTGACGTCTCTGCGTGCCCTGAGCGACATGACAGAGGCTGCCAGTCTCTCGTCGAGAACAAGTACAGAGGATACGGCTGCACTGGCAAAAGCTCTGTTTGTATCTCGCTACATCGATTCCTTGTGCGCCATCCTCGATGCAGAGTCTACCTCTAGCATAGTACAAGAGCAAA